ATTCGACTTCGAATACCACGCTTGAGCGGGAAATTCGACTTTTTTAAATGTAAAGTTATCAAAAGTTGTGTTTTGAAATTAAAAGTTAATTGAATGGTATTTGTTTTCTACTTATTTTTGAAAGGTTCGGTATAATATAAGGTAATTTTTTGTGGAAAACCCCTCGTTTCAGGTCTATAACTGATAAATATATATATATATATATATATATATATATATATATATATATATATATATATATATATATATATATATGACAAATGCCATATATATATATATATATATATATATATAGCTGTAGCTGCATGGATAATATAGAATCTATAATCAAGCAACATAATGCTAAAATTCTTAAACCCAGCCCGACAAATGACGTTAACAGTCAGTGTAATTGCCAAGACGAGAATAACTGCCCATTAAACAATGCATGCAAGACAAAGAGCATTGTATACCAAGCTACAGTGACCCCATCGAACCAGCCATTTAAAATATACATAGGAATGACAGAAAACAAATTCAAAACGCGGTACCGAAACCACAAATCATCCTTCAACAATGTTGAGCACGCTGGAAGTACAACGCTCTCGAAGTTCATCTGGGAATTAAAGGAATCCGACACAGCTTACGCAATCGAGTGGAAAATCCTTAAGCGTGCAAATGCTTATAGGAGTGGAGGAAAGATATACAACTTGTGCCTATCCGAGAAAATCTGCATTTTAAATGCAGATAAACAATCACTACTGAACAAAAGATCAGAATTAATAGCTAAGTGTTGTCACGAAAGGAAATTTTACGCTTATAACTACAATCCACCGTAAAAGCACTTTAGTCTGATGATCGCCTTTGTGCGTGAAACTCGAGTAACTTTTATCGTAAATAGGTTTAGGTTTTATTAAATTATCTTCAGATATCATGTCTTAGTCTACACCAATAATATATATATATATATATAATTAATTCTTGTTGTCCGTAATTGAACGAAGAGTGCTCAATACCAATATGCGATAGAGCTTAAATAATTCTTTAATCTTAAAATATATTTGTCGCTACACTGTGTTTCACGCTTCTTTCGAAGCGATCTTCAGGCGATTTGAATCGCCTGAAGATCGCTTCGAAAGAAGCGTGAAACACAGTGTAGCGACAAATATATTTTAAGATTAAAGAATTATATATATATATATATATATATATATATATATATATAT